GATAACTTGAATAGAAGCGGTTTTTAGTTTGTTGAATATATCTCTGTTGAAAAGGAACTTAGAGATATAAAACTTGGCTGTCTAAGTGTAAAATTATGTTAGGAACAACTTTACATAGACGTCCAAAAGCAGTTTACTTAATAAAATATTGAGTAAGAGTCAAATGTTTGCAGCAAAAATTTGGTACAAGTGATCATTGGAAAGAGTTAATTAATTTAACTAATTAGTAAGAAACAGTTATTATAATACAGATATAATTTCTAAAATTTTTGTTTATAAAATTTAAATATTAGACTTGCTACTTGAAAGTTAACAATCTGTTTATTTTATCAAATTACTATATAAGTAGTTATGCAATGTTATGTAAAACCAAGAATAAAAGAAATCTATATAGTCATCATTTTAGTTATGAAAAACTATATTCTTTATTGCAATTTATTTTTGATATAAGAAAATTTTTCTTTATAAAAAAAGATGATAGTACTTACAATCTGAATATTGGTTAGAATTTTAGTATCTAAGTCTAAAAACCTATTAATAAAATTAATATTTGACTATTATATAGTTCATTAGCTAGTATTACTCTATTCTAATTAGTAATATACTATATATAGTACAGTATACAAATTTTTTTTAAATATTATAGAACAAATTATAAAACCATTTATATCTCAAAGGTTTTTTTATAAAACTACCTTTTGTATTCTAAGTAAAATTATTTTTGGTAAAATTTTATATATAGATAGTTTATATATCATATATGTACTATATATATTGCATATACTATACACACTATATACACTATATATACTGTATATATTGTATATAGTGTACACTAAAAAAATTTGATTATCATACTACTAGTTCTAATAAATCTGATTCAAAATTCTGAAACCCTGCAAAAAACATTAAATCTATGAAATATATTTATATATTTAGAAATAATTAATAAATTCTTTTGATTAAGTCTTTAATAATTAGTAATTATCATTTTATTTGCTTAATAAAAATTTAATAAAAAAAATAAAAATTACAAAATATTTAGTATTAAGAACTTAAAGTTTACATTAGGGCACTAATTTTTGTCAAAAAAATAATTTTACTATTGTTTGTTATTGCATCTTTGACTTTACAAATATATGTACTTATTTATAAGTTTTTTTTTTACTAAAGTATAAATAAACTATGCAGACTAATTAATTTAAGACTTTGCATATAGAAATATGTATTTCTGGTATTTATTTTTTAAAGTATTGTTCAGTATATTATATGCTAATAATATTTTATTTCTTACTATTTATTTTTTTATTAATAATTATTACAACTAATTTTTATTAAATTTATTATATGATTATACTCTACAATTCTCTAGGGCTACCAATCTTAAACTCCAAACATTTAACTTATTACAAAAACAACTTTCTATCTTGACATATATAGATAACACTTTTTGGATTGTTTTATCACAAACTAAGCTTTCTAACATATTATTTATAGCTAAATCATTTTATGTTATGCTAACATTCAAGTTAATCCTACAAAATCTATTCTAGTCACCAATAACCCTTCATCTCACTACATCCCTATCACCTATAATAATCATCTTCTCCTACTACATTCTCCTAAACAACCCTTTAAATTTTTAGGTTACTGGTTTACTTTGGACAATAAGCAATCTAAACAAACAAAACTGCTTATTGCTGAATCCTTTCAACTTATTCAAATTGCTAAAATCAAATGTATTACTAACTCACATGTCTGTTATATTATCAATGCAGTTATTATTCCTACTCTTGAATATTGTCTTCAAAATATTGTAGTTAGTCAGCCTATCTGCAATAAAATCTTTATTTAGCATATTGGTCTTATTAAACTTAAAGCTAAACTTTGGTATACAATACCTTCTAGTACTCTTTTACATCTTCAAATTTACAACATCAAACATATTTGAAACATCCAACTGCAACATCATATTTCTAATCTTCTTAAACAACTTAATAATCTTGACCTATTAGGCACATTAACTTGCATCCAAATTTAACAGTTATAAAACAAACTTTGGTCTTCTCCTAATATCCTCTTACATTTCAATTCTATTATTGATGGTTCCAACCATCTAACTACAAACTTTAAAATTATTCAACTTATCAAGCATATTGGCTAGATATTTTCTATTATTTTAACTTATAACATTCTATTTACTCTAAATGACAGAGCTATCTCTTTTGAATCTCTTTTTTCCTCCTATCCCAAATATTCCATTTTCAAAAAACAACTTAGATATCACAAATTACTCTTTCTTGATCAACTTATTACATATAATAATTTATGCTTATTATACTGAAAACATATTTCTTCTAGATTAAGTAAGTTTTTCAAAGGTGTTGTACCTCAATGATTCATCATTCTTGAGAATATTACAACAAGTCATTCTCATTAATGTACTTTATATAATCACTTTAATTTATCTCAAACAAACTACTTTTCTTATACTACTGGTTACTTTACCTTCAACACCAAACCTTGGCTACTTACTGTTCTTAATAACCAAATAATTATAACAAGGCCAAAAGGCATAATATCCCTACAGGCCTTACCCTTATTACTCACTGGTACTGCTCATATTAGTTCCAGTTTTTAAACCTATATTTTACTCTCCTCTCTACTACTACATTATGTTCTAGATATCATCTTAATTCTAATACAATTGCCAACAAATGCACTATCTTTATTTCTACAAACCTGGCTACAAAACTAATCTGTCATATTAACACTGCCAAAATTCTTAACCTACATGCCAACTTTCTTAATATTGTGTACTCTGTAGCTATTCAATATCCTTTACATATTTTATCTCCTCTTTCACTAATAATCAACTCACAACAATTACCTTGCATTTTTCAGGCTAACCAACTTACTGATAGCTTACAGTCTATTGCTAATTCTAATTATAATCTAATCACTATTTCATTTTATACTAATGGTTCTGTTATTGAGCTTTGTACTTCTCAATGCTCTATGGACATAGGTTGGGTTTAAGTTGATAATTCTGCAACTATTCACTTATTCTAGATACAAGTAAACTCTGGACATGCTTCTTTAAAGCTAAAATTCTTGCTATTCTTTCAGAAATTATAATTACTTCTAGAAACTGTTCTGTTTATATCTTTATAGACTCACAATTTGTTATCTCCAAATATTATAATATCTGCTTATTAGCATCCAAACTTTCTCATACTTATACTTCATAATTATTTATTTAGCAAACTCTTATTAAATTCATTAACTCATACAATATTTAGCTTACTTTTCACAAAGTTACTATACATCAAGATGATCTATTTAATAATCTTGCTGACCAACTTGCTTGTAGTTACTAAATACTACCTTTTTTAATATTCTTAACTAACAACTCTTACAATCCTGCCTATACTCTATTTATTGACCAATTTTCTATTGCATTTCCATTTAACACTCCATTCATACTATCTGTTAAGCTTACATCATAACACTTTGAATATCTTAACATTGTTTCCAACAATGGTTTACTATTGCTTCTAACATCAACTGGAAAGCCACTTGGCTTTATATTAATAATTATCAAAAGAGTTCTAACTTTGCCTATAGTTTTCATTCCTTTACTCTAAAAATCTTCTGTATTAAAATTCTCTTAAATGATCTACCTATTTCTCACACTCTTTACAAATGTAATTCCTCTTACTCTTCTCTTTGTCATCAATGTAATCAAACTAGCTCTTCATTACACTGGACTCTTTGTCCTTCTATCCAAACAATTTATCACTTAATCTCTAATTCTCTTAATTGTATCTTAAATGCTACTGCTCTTGACATGTTTACCAATCTTGTTTCTAATTTATATCAAGAAATTCTTACACTTAGTAGCTTTAAATTGCATAACTCTTCACACATGCCATCTCTTATTTCTACTCTAACTGGTTTAGTTCCTATTGACCTTATTTTTATTATTCATAATACTTCTATTTTCTACTATACAGCTACTTCACTTTCTATTAAATTTCTTCCTCATTTAAACCAACAAATATATAAACAAATATGGATTCCACATTGCATTTCACATTCTACACAGTCTCAAAATACACTTACTACAAATTTAACTCATAGTTCTTCTTCTAGTTTACCCCCTATCTCAGTACCTCAAATTATTACCAAAATTAATCTTTGAACTATTCAATAAATTAAATATCATACTCCTCTCTCTTATATTATTACTAATACTCAAATCTAGGTGAGCCTTAGCCACTTTTATAAGTTTAGGTTGCAGATTATATGTCTGAGTTTTTATTCTTCATATGTAATTTAAAAGCAAGCTTTTCTTTGTAAAAACTTCAATTGAATTTCAATAAAATTAAAGACATGGCCTCACTGTTAATATTTAAAAAAAAAACAAACCTAAATTTATTATATAAATTTTTTAAATATTTTTAAAAAATTCTTAATAAGTATAAATAATATAGAATTAAGAGATTGCTAAACCCAACTAAGAATAATGTAATGCAATGTTTAGTTAGCAGTATTATGAAATAGACAGTACAAGATACAGAAGCAAAATTACTATAAAACATGTTTTTAGTAAAGGCCATTAAGCACTATTTGGATTTTTCTTTAGCAGATACAAGTTATAAATACTGGATTAGAAATTTAGCATTAGTAACATTAAAAACAAGAATAATGAAATGACTATATAAACTTTGTAATTTGAAGAAGAAGGACTTTAAATATGATAAGGATTTGCTATAAGTTTGAATTAATAAGTTAAAGATAGATTAACTTATTAGAAAGATTTTTATTCTAGTAGAAAAATCAAATAGTAAGTATGTTTAGTTAAATTAGTAAAGAAGTATATTAAAATTAGATTCAAATTCAATGATGAGACTCCTTTTTCTTATTGAAATCAGAATACAAATCAACTGTACTAGCTATTTTGACTATAGTAAAGTGCATAGTGAATCATACAGGTGATGATAGAAGTTTCTGCTTATAGTCTAAGAATTAGAAGTGTTACAGCAGCAATGAAAGTGGCTTGTTTATAGAACAAATATAAACCATTGGTAGATAGGTTTCTGATGCTGCTAGATTATATTTAAAAGCAGTAGGAACAGTAGATTTGTGTGCTTCAAGGATTATAAGTTTTTAAGTAATAATAATAATTAAAATTAAAATAAGAAAGAAGTAAGAAAGTAAGTCAATTGATATTTTGTAAGTATTTGTTTGTTTTTTATCTTAATTTACAAGTGAATAAGAGACAAAACAATAAGTCTGCTTGATATAATAGTATTGAGATAGCTTTTGTCATGAATCAGCTTATAACATGCCCAATTACAGTCATATGAGTAATTTTGTATTGACCTTTTATTTAATATTAGTATTAGTAATATAATAGACTTTGGGATTATGAGATAATAATTGCAATTAGTAAATTAGTTTAGTAATATTGATGTATTTGAGTCTAATTGATTTGAGTATTTAAGTATTGTTTTTTTTTTTTTTATTAAGATGACCTCTTTGGTCTTTTGACTTTTATTAATTACTTATCAGTATTGTAATTTAATGAATCACTACAGGAGAGTGTACAATTGGCTACACATGTAACTTTTCTATATTACCTATTTAAGGAGTTCACCTGAAGATTCCCTACCAATTGCCGTACCTAACACCCCTGCTTGGGTGTTCTACTTTAAATCCTCTGAACCTGTAACTTGTGTTAACATAACTGATCATCTCAGATGTACCAGATTATCATCCTTAAACTTAGACCTAATTTATTCTCAAGGTAAACCCCTCAGAGCCTTCTGTATCCATTTTTACAGCTGACCTAGATATTGCTATAGCAGAACCAACACTTGCAGTCAGGCTAACTATTAAACCACTATGCTTTTGTAGAGTTCACTTAGACCCCAGCATCTACTTCACAGCATAACCCCAGTACTTTAGTATATCTCTGCCTTTTCTCCTGCCCTTTTACCAAACTTCCAATCCAGATAGCCTGTATAGGACTATAACTAGTCCATCAGTATATCAGGTTGGTCTGATATTCTTTTCTACTGGTTTGTTCTAACAGCCTAGTTGGTGGTACCTCTGAGACTCTCAACACAAAGGTTCTTGCCTGTCTGGCTACTAGGACCAGGCACTAGACCTTGGTATCTGTTTCTCTGAGCTAGCCTTTACAGTAGGGCTGTTGAAAATCCAGCTACCTCTCTACTTGGGTCTTTTTAAATGGACTTCTTGTTACCTAATTTTAACAGATTTACATGACTATAAGGACTTATCTAGTGTTTGCACTGCCTGATATGTCAGTTTGCATTTCTCTGTGTAACTCCAACATTGCACAGATGCCCCATGATCTGCCAGTCATGCTGGTGTAACCACCATTACAGGTATCCTAACCCAATCATTAGTAACAGTTGCTGTAATATAAATATTACATAGGTAATTATCCAAATTTTCACTGTTAATAGGATTTGAACACCCAATCTACCACTTGGGAGGTTGACAACCTGACCACTTCACTAGGTCGCCACACCCTATTTAAGTATTGTAATAAATAGAGTTAGAAATAATTTTATTTCTTTTGCAAACTCAACTTTAGTCTGGTTTTTAGTCTCTTCACTTTCATGCTAGAATTTTTAAAGAGATTTTTAATTTTGGTTATTGAATAAAAGATTTGCTAATGACTGACCTGTTGTAATAACAGTTATGAAATGTTTTTATTTTTAATTAAAATAACTATTTACAAAGTAGTTTATCATTTACTAGTGATAACCTTTTGGGACAACAGTTATTTTAGGATTTGTATTAGTCTATTATACAGTAGAAAATAATAATAATAATAACAAGAGATAAGAAAAAAATTAATACTATAAAATTTGCAAGAATGCTCGATTGTAAAAAGAATAAACCTGTTTGTTTTTTCATCTTAATTCATAAACAAATGAGAACAAAATAATAAGATATTACTTATAATTGTTATTCAATAATTTCAAAATATATATATTCTAAATCTGTATATCATTCAATTAATTCTTTAATAGTTATAAAAGACTCACTTTGTTTATCCAATCAATAGTTATAGTAATAGAACTATTAATTTTATAAAAAGTAATTCAAGAACAGAGTTGTTAATTATTATAAATTACTTGTAAATACTTGTAACTAGTAATTTAACAATGTTAATAAATTAAAAATATATTGTAAGACCTAAAAATTGTCCTATCATTATTATAATTAAATGTAATCAATTATTATATATAGAACCTGTCATCTATCTGAATAATTAGTTACATGAAATCTTACTTTTCTTACTTTTATTACTTTTGTTACATTTATTACTTTTATTACTTTAGAAAGATAACCAGAATATTGAACATTCAGTTTTTCTTTATTATAAAAAGGATAAAGGTTTTAATGATAATATTATGTAAATAGATAATATAGAGAAAATTAACCTCAATTGTAAATAAAACTTTTATTATAATTAAAAGATATTTCATCTAGGAAAAAAGGTATAAAATAATACTCTCAAGTAAATACATTTGTTTAAATAAAACTTAAGTATTGGACCTATATTAAAGTGAAACTAAAACCTAGCTCAAGCTAAAAACTATTGTTAAAACCCTCATATTAACTATTTGTAATCTACTAAAACTGCATTTTGATCATTCACTATAAGCATATAACTAAGTTATTAGTACAAAAGTAGAGATCCAAACCTGATTTATGTATTTTAACTCTTGGTTAAAGAAATAGAAGAAGATAAGAGCAAGCAAGAATTAATAGAAGAATAGATTAAAGAAAAGACTTAGAAGAGAAGATTAATACTTGGCTACTAATACAAGCAAAACAGAAAGTCAATTACTTGACAAATAGGTAGAGATAAGTAAATCATAGTTTTTCAAAAAATTCTGCATAGAATTTATTAAATTTAGATGCTACACAATTGAACCTCAATTTTAATTGGCCAATAGCTGTAATTAACAAAATTTTGACCAGAGTTTAATTTTTTAATTGTATAAGGTTTGGGTTTGCATAATGATAAAATTAACCAAGAAACATATTTCACTTAAGGTTAAAAATTACATTTTACAAAATTTACAATATATGTAATTTTATATGAGTTTTAGTAATATAAATTTCATATAATTTTACTGAATATATAGTACCTAGAAATAGGCAAATTGTAGTTTCTCCAAAAATCTCATGTATAATTCATTAAACTACAAATTTTTAAATTCTAATTTTACTTAATGGCAGCTATGATTTCTTTACTAAAATTTAAGTAATTTTGCCTAAATTTTTGATTATTGCTATTGTTTAATCAAAATAGTGAATTTTCATATATTTTTTGTAAGATTTAATAACAGTAATTATATTAAGCACATACTTGATTAAAGGTTTTATCTAATCTAATTTTTATAAAATAATTTCAAATATTATTATCATTATGCATATTATTTATTTTTAAAAGAGTGACTTAATCATAAAAAATATTTTTTTAATGCAAGTAAAAGATACTAATAACAAAGAAGATAAATTCTTATTGTATATATAAATAAACATATATGTAAAACAATATACACCTACAAGACACTTCATTAAACAAATCTGTAAAGCTTACATCTTAGCTATATAGGCATTACAAAAACAAAACAGTGAATGGTATATTTCAACCAAGACATTGACTAGAAATCCACTTGGCTTTACTTCAATTAAAATCAAAAACCCTCATACAATATTACCAACTTTAGACTAATTAACTAAAATCTTTTAAAACAAAAATCCTTCTTAATAAGTTGCCAACATACTCATTATATTATACTATTTATTCAAGCCAATATCCAGATACTATTTGCTTCTTTTGTAACCTACCTAATTCTCATTTCCACTGGCGTACTTGTGCTAATCCATCTTTACTCGATCAAATTATTCAAACCTCTACTAACCAAATTATCTCTAATAACTTGCCTGATCTTGACACTTATCATAAACATAACTTAATTAACAAAATTCTCCATCATCCAGCTCTTAACTTTTTATACACACTATCTAATACTTACTACTCTAACCTTACTCTTAAAGAACTTATTCCAAAGTCTCTTATATCAACAATTCAAAACCCTGACATTCTATACAAAATGGCTTCTCAAGTTATTATTGATATTCTCTTTAATATTAATGAACAATCATATGAGCAACTATGGAAAACATACTGTATTTATTTCTCTAAATGGAAAAACCAACAAAACAAACTTTGATCTCGACCAATTAACCAACCTTCAAGATCATCCAACCTAACAAAAAAACTTACATGGCCTCAAAGAGATTACACTTACTTATGCCTTTGTGGACTTCCTGATCAATTACATTCTTACTCAAATACATGTCCTCTTATTGGCCAAGCAATTCGCAAAATTAACATTTGATCCATCCTATGGATCAAATATAGCATATCATTAAATTATATATTAAACATCCAAATCTAGGTGAGCTTTAACTATTCTAGTAGGTTTAGGTTGCAGATAAACTAGTCTGAGCTTTTATTCTTGCATGTAATTTTTAATTTATTTGTTTTGTACAAATAGTAGTAGCTATATAGTTAGCAGTTTAATGGTTAGCTCTGATTGCAAGTATTGGCCTCAGCTATAGCATATATATATGTAACTATTTTAAATTATTAATAAAGATATAAGCAAGGCCTCACCTTAATACCAAAAAAAAAAAGAATAAAAGATTTAAAGTATTTGAAAAAGTAAGATATAGTATTAATATAAATAAAGTTTGGAATATAATATATATCTAGCACAATAAAATATACAGTAGAAGTCTGTAAATTGCCTATTTTTGAGACCCAGCCCAGTTTGCATTTAGGGTTAAAATTTTTTTTTTGGCCTGGCCAGGCCTGCATTTAGAATTACTATTTTTTTGTTAGCCCAGCCTAATCTGCATATATTAAAGTTTTTTTTTAGTTCAGCTTGACCTGGCCAGACTCACAAAAATTTCTTATATAATTTTACAAAATTTTAGGCCTATACTGGCTTGCAATTATAAAATTTTGCAAATTTTTCAGCCTGGCTTGGCCTACAATTATAAAATTTTGCTTCAGGCCTGGCCAGACTAGGCTGTAGGATCCAATGCAGGCCTCTAAGATGCAGTGAATAGAAACTTATTAAAAAAGAAGATAATTTAAAGAAATAGTAATATTGGAAAAAAGATAAGAATAAGAATATTGCACAAGAAAATAGTAGCACTAAGCAAGCTACTACAAAGAAGAAAAAACTAAACTAAACTTAAAAAAAATCAACATAGAAGTAGATAAAATAAACATAAAATATGATCTAAAAATAGGCTATATAGGAGAAGACAAAGTAGCAGATCTTGAAGAGTAATGTTAGTTAACAAAGAAGCAGTAGCAAGCATTAAGAATAGCAGAGAGGGTTGAAGAAAACAATCATATAAGAAATAAAAATAATACTGCAATAGGTAAAAGATGTGAGAGAATTGATAAAAAAGTAAAAAGAATGCTTACTAGTATTCTAGACAAACTATATAATAAAATCAGAATTAACTAAGTGTTAAAACAGAAAAAAGACAAACACATATTAATCAGTAAACCAAATGCAGTATTAGAGCAAACAAAAGAACATTTTAGTAAACAGTTCAAGCAGAAAGATGTTATTGAAGATAAAAGAGTAATAGATATGTTTTACAAGCTATTTGCAAAAGTTAAAGAAAGAAATAACAATTGAAGAATAAATGAAAGCAATAGAAAAAGCTAAAAATAAAACAGCATCAGGCCTGACAAATATTGGTTACAGACTAATCAAAAGCATAAGTAGTAAAATACAAAAAGTTTTTAGAAAAGTTGCTAATATGTGTTTGAGGCTTGAAAAGATATTATATAAGTGAAAGTTAGTGCAAATCTATCCAATTTCAAAAAAGTAAGAATTGTGATTATAAGCTTTATAATATTAGACTAATTGCATTATTAGAAACATTTAGAAAATGCTTAACAAAGATGGTAGCAAAAAGAATATCTAATATAATAAAAAAAGAAAAATACTCAAGGGCTCAAACTTTGCTAGTCTACTAGAAAACTTGATAGAAGAAGCAATTCACATTGTAGAAATGATAAGAGAAAATGTGAAAAAAAGACATGAAGAAAACATATAATTTGGTATCAATGAAGTTGCTTCAGCTAGCATTATAGAGAATTAAGCTGCTAGTCAAAATAATAAAGTTTATTATAGAGTTATATAATAAAAAATGTTAGCATTATAACTAAGTCTAAGATAACAAAAACATTTGTTGCTAAAGATGAAATCAAGTAAGAAGAAATAATTTTACTATTAGTTTGAAGGATATTTTATGACCTATTATTAAGAAGAATTCAAGATAATTTGTGATTAGATTATAAAATCAAGGTATATTAAGTACTAGATTTACAAATAAACAGAGTTAAAGTTAAAAAACCAAGGCAAGTTGCAGTAGCATATGTTAATAATACAACTTGGATGGTAAAAAGCAGAGAGAAGACGCAAAAAATTATTTAGATTTTATAAAGATTCTTTAAATTCAATGATATTCAAATTAACAGTACCAAGTTAAAGCTGTTAGTAATTAACTCAAGTACAAAAAAAAAGAAAAAGTCTATTGTAATAAACAATTTTTAACTACAGGTTGAAAAAAAGCATGCATTATTAAGAATGTTAGAGGTATAGTTAAGTATAAAAACAAATAAGAGTTTAGTTGTTAAAAGGATAAAAAGTATTATACAACAGTTCATGTAAAGCTTATAGTTTAAGAAGTTAACTATTAGTTAGTTAATATACATCAATAATATATATATAATACCAAAACTGATATACATATTGCAAACTACAAAGGCATCTAAAAAGCAGCTCAATTACTTATATCAACCAGTAATTAAACTGATCAAAGATTTAGGAAAATATAAAATATTGAGTCAAGAAATATTTAATAATCAGTTAGTATCAGTGTAAAAAAAACTAAATAAGCTAAACTAAGTTGGTGAAATAACAAGAATATGAGTAAAACAAGGCTTTGCTCTGACAGGATTAATATCAGAAGAATTAGACACAGTTTTGGTAAGCAACTTAAAGAGAATTTGAAAAAATAATTTGATATGTTTAGTTATATTTAAAGCAAAAGAAATAAGTATAACAGTAAAGGCAAAAGATGGTCTTTGGCAGGTTTATAGTATAAATAAAACTGTATATAGTTTGATAAAAAAGAAAACATTTAGAAAAGCATATAAAAGGTTAATAAAGTATAGAATATTTTTTATACAACAGTTAATTAATTAAGATGGCAAGAAAATAATTACATAAAAGAAGTTTAAAGCATTATGAACAAGTATACAAAAAGGTTAAAAAGCAAAATAGTTTGCAGAAATCAAACAGAAAATATTAAATAATCAAGGTAATAGAACAGTCTGAGCAGAATTTCAAATACAAAGCACAAATACTATAGCAATGCAATCTATATGCAAGAAGCTAATACAAGAAAAAAGAAGGCATGAATAAATGCTAGTAAATAAGAAGAATATGGATTTGATAATAGACAGAGTAGTTAAGAAAAGAAAGAAAGATATACTTATAAATTACTAGAGCACATTTAAGATTGAAGATAGAAATTATCTAGTGTTTGTAGAATTTGAAAAGTGCAATTTGAATAATAGAAATAGTACAAGCAGTTGTTAGTATTAAGTTAGAAAAAAAGAAATTGCTAGTGTACTGCCAAAAATTAGACAAAGGAACAAACAGAAGATTTAAGTTCTGTTAGAAGAACTAAGTGAATATAAAGTAAGCCATATAGAAGATAGTTTTAATAGTAAAGAAGAAGTTATAGAT